GGGTTCGTTGACAAAAATAATGAAGAATTTCTAATCTCGTGCTTAACATAGATCAAAATCCTCAACTAAAGTTATTCTAAATTTCTAACATTCAGAAATCTCATAGTCATGTATCCAATAATCTCCTCACTCGGATCCTACAACATACATAAAATAATATTCTACACAAGCTGAAACATTGAACACTGAAATAATAAAACAATGCCAAACATTATTCATTTCAATTCGTCTTTGGCACTAACACAAGCAAAAACAGTACACCAATTTCATTTGTTTTGGGGAACACTGATACAGTTTCATTTGTTCTTTGGCTTCACAATGGAGCAGAACTTAAGGACACAACTTGTGTCTTCTTTCCAAATCAGCTCCAGTTTGACCGATTCACCTGTCTTCACACAGTTAGCTTTGAAGAAATCTTTACATCCTCCTACCAATTTTATTCTTGACCTTTCAGACCGCAGATTCGTAGACCAATTCACACCGTTTTTATCCAGCAAAGCCATTTTAGTTTCCTCATTAATGCCATGCATCCTTGTGAAGGGTACCGGAAGAAACTGCAACAAAATTTCAAATTAAGGATTTTAGACTCGATAGAATGTTTAAAAGGCAAACGGATAGAATGTTTAAAAGGCAAACGGCGTTGGAGTGATGAAACTAACCATTCTATACTTATTGATGTTGTAAGGTGTAAGAGCTAATGTCACAAATCGGTTTTGGGATGGTGAAGATGAAGCTTTCCATATCGATCTACTACGCTTCTTGAAGCTTTTTTCATCTTGTTTGCTCTCTTCATTGCTTTCTGATTCCATGGAAAGAGACTCTATTTCATCACCTTCTGAACACTCTTCGTCTTCGGGTTCTTCAGACAATAAAAGTAGAACCGGAGTTCCTCCTCTTTGGATCAGTTTGAAAGTGAAGAAACCTCCAGCTCTAAGCCCATTGGCATGACAAAAACTTCTCCACCCTCGTTTGATATAACTATTTTGATATGATTTATTTCTTGTCAAATCTAGCGTCCATGATCTTCCCTTTTCATTCATCAGAACAATCTCTCCACATTTTTTGTCAAGACCATTTGCCCTCACAAAACCCCTTGGAAGATTCTGGAAATTCATTACAATATAACATGAATCTATCATTCTAATCTAATTCAGAACTTAGAATGAGAGATTTTTGTTCAAATTAGGAGTAGATACCAGCCTGTCGTATCGGAGGGTCGAAGCCATGACATTAGCCACAAAACAAGACTCTCTTTCTCTTCTTGGACTCTTCATCACTTTCTTCTTCCTAAGAATCTTCCCTATTAAAGAAGAGAATAAATCCAACTTGTAGTAGTTTAAACTGATTCTCTCCACTTACAGATCCATATTCAATTACATTACTTCATGGACAGAGTTAAAGAGACGAAAGAACACAACTCACAGAGGTTTCTCTCGTTGTCTAAACACGATCCATATTGGATCTCACAGCAACTAGGTCCGAACAGTGTCAGATGGAAATCCATGTGTCTCTCTTGTCTGAAAACGACAATGTCACCGATTCGAAGATCGTGTGCGAGAGCGAAGTCTTTCCAACCATCAGTAAGTGTCTGGCCATCTTCTTCTACCTTCACTTCCCAGGTTATCTTGGACGCGTCTGATCTCAGCTTAGCCACCGTTTGCTCATTTCTTCCTTGTACATACTTCAAGTAGAAGGCTTCAGGAATTGTCTAAAGCAACATGCAAATACAAAACCAGACCCATCTTTCTCAATCAGTTTCTC